AAAATTATTACTGTAATATTATTTAGTATTATAATTAATTTTTGAATTTCCTTATATAAGTGAAATATTTTATCTATACAATGTTAAAGTTTTGGCATATTTTGATTTTATCAAATTAAAATTTACATATTTGAGTGCACAAAAAAATGTTCAAACTTATATTTTTATTAAATTAATAAAACTTATTTAATTACAATTTGTAAGCAGATAGACTTTTGTTAGATTATTTTCATTACATTTAGATGTAATTTTCTATGTTCTATAATTCAGTAATTATTTGAAAGCTCAACTTTTATCCCATAAAATTAAAGTCTACTTATTTAAAATTTATGAAAGACTGCAAATAATATAAAATTTTTATACATCTTTCATAAATAAATAAATAAATATGTCACAAAGATGATAGGCAAAGATTAAGTATGTAATTTTCTGTTAATTCTATTAAGTCTGTCTATATTGAAATCTGATTGTTAGGCAAAAATAATAAAAACAACAATGTATATTTGATTATTGATCTGATATTACAACTTGTGCAAAAATATATATCATATCATTAAGTTAAATGCATAAAACATTATCTTTGATTATCATTCATCCATAAAATTTAAATATCTGTTTTTGAAACTAGTACTCTGATGATAATTTTTTTTTCTCTAAAGTTATATATTCTATTGTTCAACTAAAATAAAGTTTTAACAACACCCATTATAATCAGATATGATAGTTACTGTAATGACAATGAATCACAATGATGTACTGCATTTTTCTCTGTTAAGGACAGGAAAAATTTAATTTTATCCTTAAGAAAAATATAATCTACTAGACATTTACTAAATAAAATTTATTATATCTGTCTTCCTTAAAAATGTGATATTTCTTGATTTAATTAAACAAAAGTTTTAAAGTGTTTTTGATTTTTATTTTAATATACATATACTGTAATTGTTTTTATCAATGAATATTTATTAAATTTATAGTAACAAATTGTTGTATATAGTTGCATTTAAATTTATTTTTTATTGAGTTTGTTTTTTGTAATAAATCAGTGCAAACAATAAACAATGATCAAAATTACAACATTAGTTTAATTAGCATTATAATAATGATGCTTTTATTCTCTAATTTAATGAATTCTTTTGTAAATCTCTCTAAATTTAACTTCTTTTATTTATAATTAGTATTATAATCTTGATTAATATACAGCTATTTAAATAACAGCTGTTTTTATTGGTTGTAGAGATATGCTTTATTTGTTTTCTTGTATAGTTAGAAAATTCTTCATGCGTATTAACTTTTTTGAAATGTTCTTATATTGCAAATTCTATCATTATATTAACAAACAGATAAAATTAATTTCTTTTTATTCAATTAAAGATTATACATTTTGTAGATTTAAAAATATAAATCGGTAAGGTAAGGGCTTATCAATGGTCAAGTGGATAAAACCATTGAACACTGAAACTCCACATGACCAACAGACTGCTCATGTGTAGTTTTCCAAGTGTTCATGTGTTTTACACCCAAACAGGGCCAATTTCCCATAGAAAGACCTGGAAGGCATTTCCTCTTGGCAGATTGCCCATGTGTTATGTTGGTGTCTTCTATCACACCTAGATCAATAAAATGGACATTATATTATATGATGATAAAACATTTTGAAAAATTATACTATTTTTATTATAAATAATTAATTAATTAAGAAATAATTTATATTTATTATTATTTTTACTAATAAAAACTAAAATATTTAACACTGCTTTTTATTAATAAAGAAACATTCCATGTAATTTATTTTGTTCTAAAAAACAACCAGAGGTGACCACTTTAACCTAGGCCCCATATCAGCTCTTGACTTTGAATATAGAATTTAATAAAAAAAATGATGATACATTCGCAAAATTTAAATAATTATCCACAAAAACTAGTTTTTAAATGCAATGTAGACGTTATTGAGGATCCTTTCTTGATTTATTATTATTATTTTTTTCTTCGGTGAATTTCGTTATTAAAATCGTCCAAATCTGTATGCCATTTAACAAGATGCTACTGTACTTAATTTAGATTACGTCGACCTTTAGGAAAGATATCCAGACCATTTTTTTTCTTTTCTTTTCTTTTTTTCCTTTTTCTCCATGGCGCTTCGCCCTTGGTATTTAGGTAGCTATAGCGTTACACACCGGTGACACACCTCCTAATACTAGTCATTGGTTGGTTGCGGTGGTGCGATGTGTACGTCATCAGTCTCGGAATGTCTGGCACAGGGCCAAATCGTCATCCAGTCTTCCCCTTTATCTTACCGATATTTGACTAGTCCACTGACCTTGCTTTAGGCTTTCTATGACTAGTGTGCGGTTATGAAACTAGTTTTGTACCTGGCCGTTTACCCTGTTTCGTTTATCACGACCTTCCTAGCTCGTATATAAGTGTATATACTGTATTTATATATATATATATAGGGATTTTTTTGGATTTTTTTTTATTGGAAAATTTCAGACATCTTCACTGCGGAAATTTTTTAAAGAAAATTAAGCATATACAATGGATATTTATTTTAATTCTGAATAAATATTATATATCGTTTTTCCTATTAAATTTGTCATTTAAATTCAAATCAATCAAATATCCAGTTTGTCTGGATTGTCCAGAATGGTTGTAACTTCTTACCAGTGTATGATGATTTTTTTTGATTATAATAAATTATTAACTGGTTAGAACTAAGCATGTTTTAAAAGGAGTACTTCTTTTGGCTTTTTAACAATTAATTCCCCTTTTCCTTGCCTTTTTAAAAACATTTTCTAGTTAAATTAGTTGGTAGTTTTAGTAGGCGCGTTTTTTTTTNTCTTTTTTGTATGTTCAAAAACGGCTAGTATCGTTAATGTTTTAAATTTAAATGTATGGTTCGAATTCTTTATTCGAATTTAATTTTACCTGAAGACGACGTGCTTATTTACGTCGAAAGCGCTCGTAAATTAAAAATAATTTCAAGTATATTTAACGCCTCATAGACTGACGTTCTTGGAAGTTTTGATACAGTCATTATAATATATATACATTTACAGCAATGGCCCTTTTTTATTTCACTTTAAAAATGTAAATTTTTAAATTTAACATTAATTTTTCATTTATCATATATATCATCAATTCAAAACTATTAATTAAATGATATCAATGAATTTAACAAAGATTATAGATATATATTTATATTAATGGTCTTTCACTAAGCATGTTTATGATTAATTGCAAATGTTAATCTAAATGTAACTTTGTTTTTTTTATTTACTGGTCATTCCATTAGTATATTTCCTTTTTAACAATGTCCATAAATTCATTTTAAATCTAGAACCATGGTTTTAATTTAATATCTAATTTAACGAATGCTTTATAGAATTTATTTAATTATTAACATTTTTAAAGCCAAGTTTCCCTAAATTACATTCAGAATTTCTGCAAAACAACAATAACTTATTTATACGAACAGTTAAATGACATTTTCTTTTTAATCATAAAAGAAATATTAAATCATTTTAACTTGCACATTTTTCATATTAATTTGAATAATAATTGCATAATTCTGGAAAAGAAATTTTGATACTAGAATTATGGATATATAGACCTATTGAAAATATCAATTTTTCCACTCTGACTTTTAAATTTTTATGATTAAAATATATTATACATATGCTGATTATTTTTTTAATGTTGGATTGTTTCTAGTTCTTTTAATTTAAATAATTTTAAAGTTTAACTTAATGAAACAAAGTAAATTTACATTATGAAAATGTTATTAAAGACAATAAACTGAAAATAAATGATGTAAAATAATTCTTAAAATAAATTCAGTTTCTGAAATTCATGCCAAACATCATTTAATTTGAAAATTAGATTATTACAATTATTATAAAACTAGCAGGAAAGCCTGGCGTTGCTCGGGCAAAAGCAACGATAGCAAAGATTAAGATTATTACGTTATAGTCAACCTTACCCATTTTCACAGAATGCAAGAATTGGGTCCCCCTGTTTCCAGACTAATTAGAGAATTTTTAGATGGGTCTAAAAACATGTTCGATTTTTCGCTAAAACGAAAAAAACTGCATCTGCGTCTTGCACGTCGCTTTCTCTTAACAATTCCATTGTTATGTAACACTTCCATTGTTGATGGAAGTGTTACATAACAATGGAATTCCATTGTTGATGGAAGTGTTAAGCCTTAATCCTGTCCCTCGCCCTTGTGGGGAGGAATTTCAAAAAATCCCTTCTTAGTGTGCGTTCTTGTGACGTACCTTAACTGTGTACCAAATTTCAAGTTTCAGTTCCTAACCGTTTGGGCTCTGTGCTTATTATTATTATTATTATTATCAACCCATCTTGATTATATATATATAGATTAAAACTTTATGATAAACAAACAGAAAAATATTTTTTATGACGTATACATACATACAGTGAGTATTTCTTCTATTGGAAACAAATATAACAAGATATACATATACCTTTTTATATAATTTTGAAATTATTTTATCTGTTTTGATGTTATAATATATAAAAAAAATTTAATATATGATTAAATATTTAAAAAACTGCATTAAAATATAAAAATGAATAAAGAATAATTGAATTTAAAGAATATTTTTTTTTTAACTTTTATTGTTTGTGTGTGTGTATATATATATATCATAGATAGAGAATCATTAGTAGTGATTGCAAATTTACTGGTTATTACATTACTAGTAATTCGGTAATTATATTTGGAATTACCAGTAAATTCATATTAACAAATGATTTAAAACGAAACTGAATTACTGACAGATTCATTAAACAACCATTTATTTTCAAGTTTTCTACCAGTTTAGACGAACAATATTCTTGTAATAGCAATTATTATGATATAACAGACATTGAAGTAAAGCTGATTATTGTTTTTCTTTATTTTGAAAGTAAGCTCTTAAAAACATAATACATTTAAGCTCTCGTTGTCTAATCTAGATCTAATTTTCGTACATATGGCAGCTGCATTAGAAAAAGCTCTCTCGGAATCAATACTAGTTGGACGTACTGTCATTAGAGCATTGAAAATCTTTTTAAGCTCTACGAAATAATTCATTTCTTTCTTAACTATATCTTTCACACTTTTAAATTTACTTATATTACTGTTATCAGTGTTTATGCTCGTTTTATGTTTAATGAATAAGTCCAATTTCTCTTTCATTGTTAAATTTGACTTTTCTATTTTGCACTTTGTTCTTGTGTCGATGTGAGAAGTTGATGGTGTTGTAAGCAATGAACACCTTTCATCAGAATCTGAGTCTGAACTAATTTCAGTGACATCCTCAAGTCTTGATTCATTTTCATTTTCTGATAAGTGCTTGAATAGCTCTACAATCCTATTCAAAATTGTATTTTCATTAACATTATTGGATATTTCATGTGACTTATATTTGTTCAATTTTTCTGGGTTATGTAGATACATTAAAATATCAGAGTAAATAGTTCGTCTCTCTTTCACATGAAAAATAATTTCTTTTTTAGTTTGTTATGCAGAAAGAAATCATACTTTGATAGTTCTTCTATCAGAAATTCTAACATTAGATCTGCAACGTACAAATTTGTGTTTTCGCAACACAGTGATTCGACTGCTACTTTTATAGGTTGTAATGATTGTATTGTATTAGAGAACAATTCAAGTTCATTTTCAGAAAAGGTTTTATCTGAACGAATATCAGACTTTTTCTGACAGAATTTTCCAGTATGCCAACATACTGCTCCAATGTATTTTTGAGTCTAATATTAGAGATAATTATTTTCCTAATTCATCTTTAATATGGTTCTGTAGAATGTCATTTTTGAGTGGTGATTTTGAAAAAGTTTTGACTACATTTTGTATTTTCTTAATTAAGAGTCAAAGTTTCATCTTGTAAAATATCCCCGTGAAACTTAAGTGTCATCTCAAGGTTTTCCTGTATCACTTCAAATCCTCCATCAGATTCATTGTCTGAGATTTCGGAATCTTCATCATCCAGTTCCAAATGTATGGATTCAGTACTGTTTTCTTTAACATGGCCTTTTTTGTAAAGAACTTTCGTTACCGCTAACTGTAAGCTGAGAGCAATGTACACTTGGCTGTTTACATCGACTAGTCTTGACACTTTTTCATCACTGCAACTTCATCTGTGATAATTGAAATTAGGTTTTTATAATCAATATTGAATTCTTTTAATCTGACATTTAAAAGTTCAATGCATTTTTCAGCACACGTAGATCCACGTGGGCAAATCAAACTTAGATTCCAAAATTTGTTACTTGCATGGAGATTAATATTAATATATCAATGGTTGTTAAGTGATGTCCATTCGTCACAAGATATACTGAAGGATTCTTCTCAAACTTTTCGCTCTGATATATCTTTAATAATCTCATCCTAAATTTTTTCCAAATTCAGGGATCATCATTTTAATTGAATAAGGAGATACAGGTAGATTTGCATATTTGCTTGCAGAGAAAAGTTGTTGTCTTATGTCTCTCGATGTGCAAAATTTGGAGAATGGCAATCTGTCAACTGAAGCCATTAGAGATAATACTGCAGGCAAAGACTTGTCAATTTCTTTCTTAAAAACGCAGTTATTATTATTATTTTTTTTATTAGATTCACTATGTGCACTGTTTCTGGCTGTCTCAGATTTTCTTTTCAATAAGTTTATATCATGACATCGTGTGAGGTGACTATGCAGTCCACTAGTACTTCCTTTGACTGCTTTGATTGTTTTAAAGCACAGTTTTCACACTTCAACATCTCTTTCTCTTGTGCAATTGAAGTAATCTCATGGTGAATTTTTACTCATTACTACAATAAATGTGAAACATACTGTATTAGGGAAAATGCTATTTTCTATTTTTGTTTATCTTTTTATCTATAACTATCTATATATTTTTATTAATGCATTCTTTTGTTTCTGTTTCAATTAATCTCACAATAAAGATTCCAAATTTTACAAAATTTGACTCCAGCATCACTAAATCACATTCCAATGAACAAAGTTAAAAACAAGCTTCTAGAGTCTTGCACTTAATCTAGTTTAATTATGATTATCGTTCCATTATGGCAAACATTGATAATGTTTGTAAAGAAACTGAAAAGAATATTACTTACTATGTAAGTCGTGCTTTCAGGCAGCACGTATTTATGAACTATTAAATCAAGACTTGGTAAGAAGTTTTCTTTTGCATCTCGGCTATCTCAAAAGCAAAAACGAGACCCATTTCTGGAGTATAATACAGGGAATCAAGTTATAAACAGACTAGAAAATTCCTTTTAGTAACCTTAAATTATAAATGGAATAACCTGTCACCACCTGCACTGTTTTATTGCTATGGTATAGGATGAGAGAAAATGGAAATCTTCTTCCCACGCGTATTTCCAGTGGGAATTTAAAAAAAAATGAATATTTGGTTAATTAAGAGGTTTTTTTTTCCAAAATACTGGTAAAAAAATTAATTACTGGTAAATTTACCTGGTATAATTTTCCTAATTTACTGGTATACTGGTAATGCAATCACTAATCATAAGTGGTTATCTGTGAAAACTAATTTTCAAATAAAATTTTATAACCACTCACTGACCAAAATGGTATGTAATAGTTTGGAATTTTTACATATCTGCATCTGGTATCAAATAGAATATGTTGAATGTAGTAAGAATACTCTGTAATTGAAAAACTGCAAAAGTTAAGAGTTAGTCACATACGGTTTATTCCCACAATAAATAATTTTNTTTTCTGCCACAAAGGAATATTGTGGCAATATTGGCAGTGTAAGTGGCTGTATTTTGAAGATGAATTTATGTGAAAATATAACATTTAAAGTGCCAGAGTGCAAGTCACATGACTTTTGGCACATAAAATATTGGAATATTAAAATGATGTAAATATAAGCTGCAGAGATTTTGTAACCCAGCAAGTTTTTACTACTTTATTGTAAAATTGAAATGAATTCATTCATTAGAAAAAATGTTTTTTTACCTCTCCTGAAAAGTTTCTTTTTTGGCATTTACAACATTATGGCATTGCATGCTTCATTTGTTGTTGGTCATTAAAAAGCTTTTTAATTAAACTCTTAAATATTATAAAAGTTCAAATATAACTTGTATGTAAGGCAAGGTTTTATTAGGAAATTTTTTGTACTATTTGTTACAATAGTCTAGATCAGTGGTTCTCAACTGTCCAAAGTGTTCTATTTAAAAAAAGGAAGAAATTTGCAATAAAATCTTTTATCTTACGATAAAATAGAATTGTCTATAAAGAAAGTAATATAAGGTGAGAATAATGTATTTAAAATTGATAGGCAATTCCACATTTATTGATTGCCAACATTAGTGCTCCATGTAATAAAAAGTATATGAAAGGTATTCTGTGGCATCTGAAAGGTTGAGAATCACTGATCTAATGTATAGTTAAATAATTTTTAAGAAGTGAATTCAGTTGGATTTTTTACTTTATTAATGAATTATAAAAGGTTCAAAACTGAATTGAAATGTAATGAATTTAATTAATGTAATTATTATTAAATAAATTAATTGATTTTAGTAAAAAACAATTAAGTTTTTTATTTAAACAAAATAAATTGAAGAAACTGTTTATTAAGTATAAAATTAATATTATTAATTGTTAAATTTTCAGCAAATGTCACCTGTTCAAGTCAACAATTTAAGTGTGGCAATGGAAAATGTATTCCTGAACGTTGGAGTGACAATTTCAACAATTTAAAAAAGAAATAATTATAACTATTCTTATATATGAACTTACTCTATACAAATTTACATTAGAAGAATTAAAAGGTTTTATATTTTTAAGACCTACTAATATTTCTGTAATAACTTTGACTTTAATGTATAGACATTTGAAAAAAAAAATGTTATAGAATAAAAGCTTTGTATAGAAGTAAATTTGCTCACACTCCTCTGTGATCATGAAGGATTCTTGCATCTATTTTCTGTGTTATAAATGTCTGCCTTCTACATCCAGGGCATACATCGTTTATAGAGTTTCAAAAACTTGGAATTTATTATTAAATAGTTGTTCAGTCTTAATTATATATATAATCTTTTAATGATAAGTGGAACTTTGTAGTAGATATACCTACTTGGAGGTTAAACTCATGTTATCTGAATTAATGAATAAATAGTGAATAAAACAATTCACTCTGCATCTGAAGGACAGCTAAAATGGAATTTACTTAATTTAATTAACCATAAAAAAATTGCTTTAATGGAGGAAATCAAAATAAAGTACATAAAATTCCACTGCTTTCAAATATCAAATGTTCATTCTAAGCAACGCTCAAATGTTCATGATGATAAATATTTGATGAATTTACTTTAATAAAATAAACTATATTCCTTTGATAAAAAAAAAATTATACTTGATAAATATAATCTATGTTCTATTTGCTATTTACTAGGTCAGAAAACTTGTGCTCCAAATGAATTTCAATGCAAATCTTCTAAAGCATGTGTTCCAAATGATTGGGTTTGTGATGATCAGGAAGACTGTAAAGATGGGTCAGATGAAAATGCTTGTAGTAAGTAATTTTATATTTAAAAAATGAATTTTAAGTTTAATAATGTAAAATTTTATATATACTTATGATAACCAGACAACTTAAGAAAAGGAGGGAAAGACTGTTTTAGGTTAGAATTGTTAACCAATATCTTTTGATGGCTAGATGGCTGAGTAGTTAAGGCATCTGCTACTGTTCTGGGGATCCAGGAACAAATCCTGTCGGGTCAAAAAAACCCCAAGAATTTTTGGTGTTGAATGAGGAATGAGTGGTTCATCCCGAATATGTCGATTCCCAATGTTTGTCACACAACTGCCCCATTGTGGACTTGATGAAAATGGCCATCTTAGTGTCCATGAGCAGAAAGAGTAAAAAATAAAATAACAGATTCTTTTCAGATTTGTGTAAAATGCATAAACTATTGAAAATAGTTATCACTTATAATATGTATTTATAAATTGTCCTAATTAATTACTTATTTTTAAGCCCATTAATAATTTTTTAGAAAGTTTGTTTACTGTGATCATCATATTTTTAAATTGCTTTAATATGTGATGGTTTGATTTGAACTAATATAAATCTTATTAAATTATTAACCCTTCAATCTAAGTAACTTAGGTAAAATATTGATTTTAATTAAATACTTATCTCTATTTGTTACTTTGAGATAATACTTTTTAATATGCACATTTTCCTTTAAGATAAAACAACTTGCAAAGAAAAACAGTTTACCTGCAGTAACGATAGATGTATTTCGGAACATTGGGTGTGCGACGAAGAAAATGACTGTGGAGATAACAGTGATGAAATGAATTGTCGTAAGTCATTTTAATAATTTGATTTTTGAAGCTTGTTGATACAATTTTAATTTTTGATGATTAACAATATTTCATATAAAGTAAATAATTTATTTCAAATATCTCTGTGGAGTGAATGCCATTATCATTTTATCAGGAAGTTATTCAGTTCATTCAAAAATGTGTAAAGACTTTTTCAAATTTCGTACAGAAGAAGTTTTTGATAAACTTATTTACAGATAAGAATGCCATCAAAAATTTATATTTATTGTTTTTTGTATCACTGACTGAATAAAATTTATGAAGTCTAAAAATTGACACATACTGGCAGTAAAATTAAACTGATACTGAGCATCAATGATAGACTCAACCAATCATCTCTATTGATTGTCAAGGTCAAAAGAGATGATTTGATGAAACCAGTTTCTAATGATAATTATCATCTTATCTTAATGTACAAGTGGCAAAATATTTTGTAATGTTTTGTAATAATTACTTATTATATTTATTAGTAAAATAAATCTTAAATAATAGATTGATTTAAAGATATATTGAGAGAGTTGTAATGACTGGAATAAATCATTTATAAATATTTTAAAAACCAACCTGGATGATAATTTGTGTGCAAATGTCTTAACAGTTTTGCATATAACTAAATGTCTTTCATCTGATTTTTGATACAGCAAAGAAACTTGTTTGTTCTAAGATTTTCAGTTTAGATAAATTTTGTTGCATTTAAAGCATACAATCCATAACATTGTAAATGCCATTTTTTTTCTAAATATGTTTTATTGAAGAATTGAATTCTAAATGCAATGTTTTCTGCCACTAAGGAATATTGTGGCAATATTGGCAGTGTAAGTGGCTGTATTTTGAAGATGAATTTATGTGAAAATATAACATTTAAAGTGCCAGAGTGCAAGTCACATGACTTTTGGCACATAAAATATTGGAATATTAAAATGATGTAAATATAAGCTGCAGAGATTTTGTAACCCAGCAAGTTTTTACTACTTTATTGTAAAATTGAAATGAATTCATTCATTAGAAAAAATGTTTTTTTACCTCTCCTGAAAAGTTTCTTTTTTGGCATTTACAACATTATGGCATTGCATGCTTCATTTGTTGTTGGTCATTAAAAAGCTTTTTAATTAAACTCTTAAATATTATAAAAGTTCAAATATAACTTGTATGTAAGGCAAGGTTTTATTAGGAAATTTTTTGTACTATTTGTTACAATAGTCTAGATCAGTGGTTCTCAACTGTCCAAAGTGTTCTATTTAAAAAAAGGAAGAAATTTGCAATAAAATCTTTTATCTTACGATAAAATAGAATTGTCTATAAAGAAAGTAATATAAGGTGAGAATAATGTATTTAAAATTGATAGGCAATTCCACATTTATTGATTGCCAACATTAGTGCTCCATGTAATAAAAAGTATATGAAAGGTATTCTGTGGCATCTGAAAGGTTGAGAATCACTGATCTAATGTATAGTTAAATAATTTTTAAGAAGTGAATTCAGTTGGATTTTTTACTTTATTAATGAATTATAAAAGGTTCAAAACTGAATTGAAATGTAATGAATTTAATTAATGTAATTATTATTAAATAAATTAATTGATTTTAGTAAAAAACAATTAAGTTTTTTATTTAAACAAAATAAATTGAAGAAACTGTTTATTAAGTATAAAATTAATATTATTAATTGTTAAATTTTCAGCAAATGTCACCTGTTCAAGTCAACAATTTAAGTGTGGCAATGGAAAATGTATTCCTGAACGTTGGAGATGTGATGGAAGTATGGACTGTACAGACAGTTCGGATGAACAAGATTGTCCCAATCCCATCAGTACAATAACATGTGGCTATCATGAATTTTTGTGCGCTAATGGCAAAGATTGCATATCTACTTCTTGGAAATGTGATGGAGATAGTGATTGTCCAGACAAATCAGATGAATTAAATTGTAAGTATTTTAAAATATTATAAAAAAATTATTAATTTATTTTCAAATTTATATTATACTGAATAATAATAGTTTTTATAAGCTATTATTATTCAGTATTATTCAGTGAATTAGATTGTATAAAACAGGCATGGCCAACATACAGCCCGTCTGATGAATTTATGCAGCCTGTGATTAATCTTTCAACATTAGCTACTGAAGTCTGAATAATAGCTTGGTGAAAAATTCTGATAGCTTAAAAAAAAAAAGGTCAACAACTCACTGTGCGTTTAGAGTTAACCCTCCATTACAAATCTCTTAAGTACAGCGTAGAATGTTGACAAAGCATGATAATGTGAAAAATGTATCTGTAATCTCTATGTACAATTTAGTCTCTATGGGGTGACACCACAATGAGATCTCGCACCACCTCAAAATCTTCCTGGGGCAGTCTCTGGTTTGGCCTGTGAAAAAAGTTCTCTTTCCAATTCGGCTCAGGAGCAAAAACTGTTTGCCACCCCTGGTATAAAACCAATCATTTCTAGAGCAAATTGCAAATATTTTTATTGTATTGGTGATAAAACTTTAAATTAAATTAGATTTTTGTATACGAGTAAAAACTTATACCATGTATATACATCATATACATGTATATACCATGGTATAAACTTATACCATGTATATGCATCATAGGCAAAATAATTGTTTAGATCAGGGGTGTCCAGCCCGCGGGCCACATGCGGCCCAAGGCAAATTCCAATGCGGCCCAATAAACGTGTAAACAAAACTGACAAATGTTTTAATTTTATTATTATTTATTTATTTCAACGGCATAAACTCAAAAAAGAATAAAGGTTTATGGCTTTGTGAAACTTCATATTTTATTTTTGAGTGGAAAGAAAATATTTTCAAATATTTGGAGATTTGTGAATGAGGAACGATTACTAAATAAAGCTGGAGTTGTGACTCAAAGGAGTATAGACTCAAATTCGGGGAAAGGAGAGAAAGGCCAAAAGATAAAAAGTAGTGAGAAAGGTTAAATAGACCTTCTGTTATGCAAAAATTGACTGTTAATTTTCCAACTTTCCCTGCATTTAGGTCTATAATCCTTTGAGTCACAACTCCAGCTTTATTTAGTATTTCTTCCAACATTGCAAGATTTGGCTACATTGCGCCAAATGTGGCTACTTTTTTTTGTTTGACATAAAAAATATTATTTGGCGCATTGGCTACTTTTTGGGCCATATATTATTTATAAATATATTAGTTGAATAAAAATGCACTTTAAAATGGTGTTTCATTGCTTTTTATTAATTAGAGACCCAAATAAAACAAATATTTGTGTTTTTCAAATAAATTTTCGTTTGTAGTTTTTATAGTAAATGAATTTGTCTATTTCTAAGTAAAAATTGAAAGTGTCTGTAGAAGTAATTTTTTAAAATATCCTTTTTTATGATAAAGATTTAATACTTATTATTATAATCTAGACATGTTAATCCTTTAATATACTTGTATATTGGGCACAAGTATATATTCAATATACTTGTGGCCCAAAACTCCTTGACTTCTTCCAATGCGGCCCAAAGAAACAAAAAGGTTGGACACCCCTGTCATACATGAAACTAGCCATCAGTAGTTCCAAAGAAAAGAAGAAATCAGTCAGTCTCTATACTTATTTGATAACCCTCATAACTTTTTACAGTGTAATTAAAGAAAAATAATTGTTCCATTATATTGAATTTCCTTTTAAAATATGATTTAATTTTTAAAAATTATTTTTAATAGATTCTGACAGAGAATCTGGATCACAAGATGATAGTACAGCTACTGGTATAATTGTTATAGCAGTTGTGTGTTGTGTAGTAGGTACGTCACTAGTTTGGATAATCATTATATATCAAACAAGAAAACGTGCTGAGGAATATGCACCAACTAATTCTGATGAAGCAGCTATACCAAGTGAATTAGCACCATTTGCTACTTATCCTACTACTTGTACTGAAGAATATAAAGAATCTGTCCCACATTTGTTCTTGGATTCAAATTCTGGTATGAAAATTTATAAGGGATTGTGTTAGCTAGATATGAAATGAGATGTCATAAAATTTTTCTTATTTCAGAACATTCCAGCAAAGATAGTGGGACAGGTGATAGTGCCAAGCACAGTAATGATGAACTTCTTCCTTCTGATGGTGTGAAACATCACAGTCTCATTTTATTAAATGATAGAACACATCTCACTCATTTAGTAAGAGGTAAAAATGACAACTTTTAAAGTTTTTCTCTTACTTATTTTGTAAATTTTGTTATAAAAATTTAAATTTAGATATTTATTCTTTTCAAATATAAATTTTATTGTAAGTCATTTTCCTATAATACAGTTAAATGATGATTTTTCCTATTAGTTCTTGTAATTTTTGGGAATATTGATGAAATCATCAGTTATATTCATATATAAGTTTTTGATTTCTGGATACACGAGGAGTGAATTCAATTTTTGATTTTTTATTATGTTTTAAAAAAGTGATTTTATTCAATTTTTCTGAACAATATGATTTTTAATTATAAGTTGAAAANTTTTTATTAATCAGAGACTCAAATAAACCAAATATTTGCGTTTTATCAAATAAATGAATTTATCTATTTCTAAGTAAAAATTGAAAGTGTCTGTAGAAGTAATTTTTTAAAATATCCTGTTTCGTGATAAAGTTTTAATACTTATTATTATAATCTAGACATGTTAATCCTCAAATATACTTGTATATTGGGCCACAAGTATATATTATATATACTTGTGGCCCAAAACTCCGTGACTTCTTCCAATGCGGCCCAGAGAAACAAAAAGGTTGGACACCCCTGGTTTAGATGATATGATCAGATCACCCATCAAAATCTATCAATGTGTGTGACAGGATGCAATCATTCCACACACCTTGCAGGATGTTTGGGGTGTTGTGGCCTGATATATTGCAAGGATCCAAACCTCTTAAACTTTGCAACCACATGTCCAATAGTTGTATGTTAAATGGTGCTCACTGGATGTTTGCAGTTGAACTCCTCTGCTGCCTGACCACTGGCTGTCAGTATTGTCTTAGCCTGTGGTCATTCAGCACAGGAAAAACTCATTACATTACTTAACTAAACTCTATATAGTGTCCCATTTTATTCCATATAAAATTAATTATAATAAATTTTATGAAACTTCATGCTAATATCAAATTATGTTGAAAGTAAAAACAGATTTTTAAATTTAAAATAATTTTAAATTATCATTATCATAAATTTTGTGTAAAAACTTATATAATAATAATTTTTACAATAAATAGATTAATTTTAATTTATTTATATAGAATGTAAATAGGTAATCTTGATTTTATGGAAATAACAGATATTTAATACAAAAACTTTTATGGAGATATTGAGCATGTCTTACACAAAAAAATTATTTCCTTTTAGGATAAGACATTTGAAAATATAAAAAATACTGTAATCAAAATTTTATAAATTTATTTTCTTCTGCAACTACTACTACAAAAGGCTCAATACATAGGCATATAAATTTTAAATTATCTTTAAAAGAGAAGTTTTATTTTTATATTACTGTAAATCACAAATTAAATTTTAGCAATGAATATTCAACATTCACCATTGATAATTTAGGTATGTACACATTATTAAAGTTATTATTGAAGTATAGAGTAATACAATGGCTGTGTGGCAGACTCAACAGTTCTGTAGTGGTTGAGTATTTTACTACTGAATGCTCTTTACAGATGTGCTACTTCAGAACATATTGAGTTATTGATGGCAAGTTTAGTACCAAAGCTTGTACTACCTTTTGGTAACTGATCACACACAATAATAGATGTATGTATTGTTTACAAATATGAAAAGCATGCATTATAGTACTACAGTAATTCAATCAACAACTAAAAAGAGACATATGCAAAATGTAAAATTTAGGAAGAATTTACTTAAAAACGTTTTTAAGTTTATGGAAAAAAACAGAAGCTTTTTTAGTGCACTCTTGTCAACTGGTAATTTATTTCACAGATTCTTAATTGTTATGTAGCAGTTACCACTACTATACCACTGCTCAAATAAAACTGTTTAGTCTGCTGAACATAGTATTTAATTAGAGGAGATTGGCTAACAAGTTATATTCGTGCTATATCATTTTTATCTAGAAAATCATTCATTATTTACAGATATCCATTAGTTGTTTATGCTTTTATAACATATTTTAAGAGTGTCTTTGTCTTTATCATAAATCACCATTATAACCATTTATAGAGGGCAACCAATACACTGAGCAGGTTAAGTGTGGGAGTGTTGCATAGCTCCAAGGTTGTTGTGAGGAGAGATTTCCATATAAACATGAGTTTTCAGTCACTAAAGCATCTGTGTAGCATTGTTTGAGCCCATAATGGGTTGTAGTTCTGTTTGAGCATCTTTTTTTTTGCAAGCTCTGTGGTACACTTTCTTTTCACTACATCATCCTGGTACTCAGCTAGGCAACTAGCAAGCATTTGTATTGTGGCCCCAATGTACCTTGTGTTCACCTTTGTTACAGGATTCTCCAATGGTATAGCATAGACTCCTGATTTTTTAAAGGAGGACAATTTATCCTGATCATTTCAGGTAAGTCTATGCAAATTTGGTAGCAGAGATAGGGGCAGGAGAAAGTTATATTGCCTGAATGTATGGCAAGTGTGTATGGAAAGGGGTCTGAGGTACTGTAATGGCAGTTGAACTACTGACACCTCCTTGTTGCATAGTGTTGTGCTTGGAAATAGAGATTCCCTAACCATGTTATGCATGTGCGTGAACTTAGCATGTGAAAAACTAGCTGTTTGTACTGCCAAACTGATGGTGTTTAACTGATTGTTTACAAGCACTTTTTCCCTTGTAACAAGATTTGTTTACAAGGGAATAAGAATGCTCTTCTAATGAAAGCAGCATATTAAATTTATGGAAAACCAAAAATAGTAGCCTTTCAGTCATCTACATATGCTCAAATCCAAGAATGTTATTGCTGCATCAACCTCTTTCTCCCAAGTGCAGTTAATAGGGTACTTATACAAAGAAAAAGCTGTTAATGCTGCACTCAGTGTATCTTTACTGCCTCTTATCTGATATTTGGTATGAAGATCAAACTATATTATATTACTACTTATATATTTATCACAAATTTAATTTAAAATTTATGAAAACATTATTCATATAAGTAGTAAAATGTACTGAATTACTTTGGTTAGGTAATAATACATGCCGTCCAGATCAGTTTCAATGTGACGATCTGCATTGTATTCCTGGACAACTACAATGCAATGGGCAAAAGGAATGTAAAGATGGATCTGATGAAGAACATTGTGGAGGTAAATAAAAAGTAAAAACTATAAGTTAGTTTTAAATATAAAATATTAAGTTAAATGATAATAAAATAATAAATAGTTTAATGTAATTTTATTTATTGGAAATGAAAGAGTATTTTAAAGTTAAGAAATGACAAAAGTCTTTTTGTAATCAGATATAGATAATCAAAACTTGTTACAATATTTAAAGTGATTTTATTATTATATTAACAAACCTTCTTATGAGGAAAAAATACCATTTTTTTATAACTTTTGTAAGCAATCTGTAATCATAAGAGAAGCAGTCTTTTGAACTGGTTGTTTGTCTACTGACATATGTTTTATGGTTACAATCAATATATTTAAAATTAAATAGCTGTAATGACTTATTATCAAGCAGACTGACTTTTGTTTCTTTATGTAAATTGTACCAGGTATATGTATTGAAGAAACAATAGACAGAATTTTTCCTTTATCTAAAAATAAAAAAACTACATCATAAAAATTTTTTTATACTTTGATGATTTTATAGAAATGTAATAGATAAATCTAAAAACTTAATTCAATAATTATTTATTATGGAGAAATTTTGATGGATATCTGCTTTATTGCAATAAAAATTTTCATTTAAAATTGATCTGTTTGTGAATATTAAGCTCTGATACAGCACAAAAGATGATGTGAATAATTCTTTAAAATTGATTATTCAGAGAATAACAATTTTAGCTTAAATTAAAATACATTATTAAGTTAGATAAAGTAGATATTTTCCTTAAAGTATAATTAGCCATTGTTATTCATTATAGATAACATTTTAAAATTATTTTACTTTTAGAACCAAATAGCGACAATACTTGTGATGAAAAAACACAGTTCCATTGTGGTCGTAATCATTGCATTTCAATAAATCTCACTTGTGACGGCAAAAATGATTGTGGTTCTTGGGAAGATGAACCTCAAGACAAATGCAGTAAGTATTTTATTAAGAAGAGTTCATGCTATACTTCCTTTTATTAAAGGAATCTGTCATCAAAATTATGAGTTTAACTTTATTCTTTAAAAAAAATTCTGCTATGCTGTGTAGAACAGACAGCAACTATACAAAATAATCTTGCAAAATCTAAACTTTTACCAGTATAATTGCATCTATCATTTGCAGTAGATTTAAATGTTTAGTTCCTTGACCTTTTCTCGTGTTTAATTTTAATTATTATCTTTTCATTTAATTTCAGATGTGACTGAATGTGATACTAATAATGGCGGATGCTCTCAAAAGTGTATCGATAAACCAATAGGTTATTACTGTGAATGTAATGAAGGATATAAACTTGTTGATAACAGATCCTGTGAAGGTATTTAATCGTCGTTTACATTATTAATTTATTCTATTTTTGACTGTTTAAAATTAATATAAATTTAATTGTATTTTTATTTAAATTTTATAATTTAAAATACACAGATGTCAATGAATGTAGTGTACCAGGTTTTTGTTCACAAGTTTGTATTAACACCAAAGGCAGCTTCAAATGTGAATGTATCGAAGGTTACAGTTTAGAACCTAACAATCATCAACGCTGTAGAGCTATGGGTAAGTTTACTTTACAATTGACTTTCAAATATATATTATCGGAATTTAAATTTTGTTTAATAATAATTCATTGAAAATAAACAATTAAAATTACAATTTTAATTGTTTGTCTAAAATTTATTTTTAAAATAAAGTTTTTCTATGTGAATATAGTATTTGAAATAGTAGTTTAAAAATGAACTTGCACAGCTTTCATTAAAATTGTTTACAACTTATCGAAGATACAAAAATGAATACAGACATTTGATTTGCAAATAAAACACTTCTAAATAAAATTTTTATCTTATTTAGAAGGTCATCTGTCTTTAATTTTTGCAAGCCATCACGATATCAGAAAATATGAGTTAGAAACTGAGGAATACAAATCTCTGATTGAAAATTTAGAAAGCAGAGTTTATATTGATTATATATATCAAACTGGAATATTAGTTTGGTCTGACAGTCTGGATAAAAGTATTAAAAGGTAAAAATTTGTTAAATGCATTTTTCTATTTAAATATGAAAACAATGTTTGTAAATGCATTCTATATTATTTCTTACAATTATATACATGAAATGCTCTTATAGACAACAATATATATGTACTCAACCTTCAGAATTGAGAGTGAAACATATCATAGACAATGTAGAAAAATTGCACTGTGTACAAAACTTTTCAGCCTATGTTTACTAAGAATGCAGCTTTTTTCTAATTTGACTATGAAGATCTGTTTTTTGAAAAGGAAGAATTCATAATTAAGAAAGAGTGTGAGAAAGTCATATAATTACAAGATTCTAAAATAAATAAATCTTTTGACTATTGAACACAAGACCGTGTTATTAATTAAACACTTGGCTCAACTGAATAAAGAGGAAAACGCCAAGTGTTTAATTAATAACACGGTTTCAGAAAACAAAACAAATAAATAAATCTTTTTATAATATATATAAATGTATAATATATTCTGTTTTAATATTAAAAACATAAACAATAAATACAGTAAACTTCTCTAACTCAAAGCTCCAATGGAAGGGAAAATCTTCAAATTACAGACAATTCAAGTTAGAGAACAATAAACTAAAAAATAGCAATCCTGAATAGATTTCTATTTTTACCTCTCTTGCTTTATATAAAGAATTTTTGATAATGCCTTTCAGCAAAATGTTCAACATAACTAATGGATCCAATCGACAATGTACTATACCGGGTTAAAGTAAATAAAAAAAAAAAAAAAACCAACGTACCAGGAACCTGTTTCTGGTGTGCTTCTCGGTAAAACAAAGTGTTACAAACGTTTTCAAACTTTTTCAACCAAAGTGTTACAAACGTTTTCGAACTTGTAAGAACTTACAAGTTTGAAAACATTTGTAACACTTTGTTTTACCGAGAAGCATACCGAAAACATATTCCTGGTACGTTGGTTTTTTATTTATTTATTTATTTATGGAATCAAACAGTTTTGCAGGTACATCATGTTGAGATAAAGCAAGAGGACCTCTCACTTTGGACTTCAAATGTTGTCTGAAAATTGGTGTTGGAGAGTAAATATAACTAACTGTTTGAAAATTTCACAAAAATCTGATAATTAGGATCACTTTGAATAAATATTAAAATTCAAGTCAAGAAAGTCTAAATTAACATAAATCAGTGTCAGGGGACTGTAAAAAACTTTGACTTGGAGAAAATCTGAGTTAAGAAATTCAAGTTGAAGATGTTAAATTCCTTTGCAATTCCATTGAGACCTACCAAGTGCTTCATTTTCTTCAAGTTAAAGAAATATTTGAGTTACAGATGTCTGAATTAGAGAAGTTTTACAGTATTAACAATTATTTATATATAACAACAGATGGCATAATATATGTATATAACTCAATAAAACTCTGCTGTACTAAACAATAGATTTTGCTGCAATTTTATAATTATAATTTATTTGTTACTAGCTTACCCGTCGCGCATTGCTGCAATCTCAGAAGAAAGGAAATTCAAGCAAACTCATTACGATAAAATTCAATTTACATTTTATCATTTTTATTGAAACTTATTATTATTATTATTATTCATTTTCATCGGTAAAACATTTCAAAGTGTCATTTCAATTCTATTTATTTATTGGAGTGCTTGTGGATACACGATATTTTTTGTTTTTCCGTCTGNGGAAATTATGTATTTAATTATAATAAAGTTACAATAAATTAAGTTAATATATAATTATGTATACAGTACCTAATTTATATATAATACTGTACAGACGATAGTAAACTCAATTTACCCGCCTAAACTCTCTGTAGCTTGGCGCTGGATGGCGGAAAGAAGTTCGGCTGCCCGATGACGTTTTACCGAATTATAGTTTTTTACCATGTTTGTACAGATACCGTCGCAATTTTTTCACCGTCATATAGGAATCCAAACTATAGGAACCCGTGTTATGGGGGGGTCGACTGTACATTCAAAAATATTTCATTTGCATAAATACTTTAACAATCCTTCCTGAATAAAATCTTAGACTACTTTAGTTAATTTCAGTTTTCTTAAAATTATTCATTTATGATTTTTCTAATAAATTGTTTTAATACTTTCACTTTGCAGGTAATAATTATTGTGGTATATTAAATGGTCACTGTTCCCATCTTTGTCTACCTTCCCCCAATATTACCGAGAGATCTGCAAAATTTTCTTGTGCATGTCCCGATGGCATGATACTGTTGAAAGATTTACGAACGTGCACGTTTGAATGTAAGTATAATTACTTTGTTTTATTACTTCTAAAGAAATAGAAAACTGCTTTATTAATTCAGAATTTCATAAATATATTTTACACTATACAGTGGGTGATCGGTTAACGAACAGATCGGACAACGAACACATGTTCGGATAACGAACACTTTACTGAACAAACACAAGAAGAAGCACGTAAATAACGAATACCGATTGGTCTTCCTTTGTCTCAGGCAACAATTCGAAATTCTTTGGAGCGCGGGAGACATCGAAAGTATTGTAGTAAATTCTTATAGTGAATTTCTAAAAATAAATTTTAAATTATAGTGCACCAATTGATACTGGAAAACCGATAATGAAAATTCTGACTACGGACATTGGTATTTCTAATGATATTGCAGTAGATTGGATCTATTTACATATTTACTGGACTGATGCTGAAAAAAATAACATTTATATTACTGATATGAGTGGCAAAAAGAAAACATTAATCCACACGGGAAATGATAAGCCAAGGGCAATTGCCGTGAATCCAGTAGAAGGGTAAATAAAACTTGTTTTGAAACAGATGTAGCCTTAACAAAATATAAATATTAATTCTGAAATTAAATATTATTTTAAAATTAGATGGATGTTTTGGACTGATTACGGTAATATTGCTAAGATTGAACGTGCCGGAATGGATGGAAGTCACCGTCAGACTATTGTTTCATCCGATATTAAATGGCCCACCGATTTAACACTTGGTATGTTTAAAAACAAAATTGAATATTAAATAAAATCAATATCAATGTCAAAATATATAAATTAGAGAATTTTTTTAATGATGATATTAAATTTAAATTACAGATTTAGTTGATAGAAGAATATTTTGGGTGGATGCAAAATTACATATTTTATGTAGTGCCGATTATAGTGGACGAAATCGTCAAGTTGTTTTCTCATCTGAGGCCATTTTAAAACATCCATCTTCAATGGATGTGTTTGAAGTAAGTTTATACAAAATTATAATAAAAATTTATTTATAAAATTATACAAAGTTTGTTAAAATCTATAAATTGCTTTTCAATTAAAATGTCATTGCTAACTTCACTATTCAGATATTTGGAATATTAATTTTTACATTTCACTTCATATGATGATCAATTATTTTTGAAATGTCAATAATTAATTTTTGTTTTGAAAATCACCTTACAGGATTGGGTATATTGGACAGATGAAGAAACAAAAAATATTCACAGAGCAAATAAATTTAATGGAAAAGAAATTAAAGTTTTCAGTGGGATATTTTCTCCTACAGATGTGCGTGTTTTTCACTCTTATAAACAGCCAAAAGGTAAGTTTTTTTTAAACCAATTATAATGCCATTCCACATACAGTCAACCCCCCTAAACACGGTAGATACGTTCCGTTCTTTATGAGTCCATTTTGTAGGAGTCCTTGCCAATCACAGCCTGGCATGTATGCACTTTACGGACTACGGCTGTTTGAAAGGTTTTCTTCCATAAAATTAATCAATTCTAGACTAATTTGACTCAGCATTTCCAAAACATGTATAATTTTTTGGGAATAATCCATATAAACTATGCTATAAACAAAAAATTGTATGATTACTTACCAAGTGTGCACTGTTCGATGTCGCCATTGCTTAATTAAGCTTGTTTTCATTGCGGAGCAGCGCACCAAACGGCGGCCGCAATTTCTGATAAGTTATTTTTCTGCAAAAACTTCGTTGAACTTTGGAGACATCATTAATATAAATAATTTTTATGGCCGTTGAATAAGAAATGTTTCTTTCACTAGAAATGTATAAAATTAGTGCTGTATTAGATTTACGGTACCTAATTTACATACTGTACAGATGATAGTAAACTCAACTTACTCGCCTAAACTCTCTGTAGCGTGGTGCTGGACGGCGGAAAGTATATATATAATTACAATAAAATTAAAATAAATTAAGTTAATATTCTACAGACAATAGTAAGTTTCTGTTCTCCTCCTCGAT